CCAAAGCAAGGAGGCAGAGACCACTACAGCAGCTGCAGCCTTCTGCCTTTTGCTAGAAACAGCAGCAGAGTGGCAGGGGCGGTCAGGTCCACCTACTGTTCAGAGGCCTTCCCGCAGGGAGCTGCCCGCAGGGTCTAAAGCACAGCAAGACCTAGGTGAGGAGGAGCTGGGGCATCTGCTGCAGGAGCGTGGAGAGCCAGGGTGCTCCTGATAGCTCCCCCGAAACCCTCTCCTGCAGATTTAAAGCATGAGGTGCTGCAACACAAGCAGCTAGCAAAATTTGTGGGGTTTTTTTCAAAGTATCAATCGTTTGTAACATTTTAAATCCGGTTCAAACTTTAAGAATCTTTGCCGTAATAGTTTTTGTTTTTTTTTTGGTACCAGTGGTTGTACTCAGGTCCTTGCGCTTTCGAGGCAGGCCGCATAACCACTAAGCTAAATCCCCAGCCCCCGAGTTTTTACATTTCAATGTAGCTTTCCTGGTTTAAAGAATATTCTGTTTCACACCAATATACCACAAACTACCACTCAAGCACTGATATGCATATATAGTAAGTCATCATCCGAAATTAAAGAGTCAGGGCTGTTTAACAGGGCTGTTTTGTCTTTGAAACGTAACTGTTTCTATCCCCCCCCCACCCCTAATTGTTATTCTGACTGTGGATTTCCATTCTCTACCATTTCCCAGAAGCAGCTGTCAGTCCACGGCCACTACCACACTGCCCTTAGGGTCCAGTGCATCCAGAGAGGGTCATCAGATGTGATGTAGCACGTCACACCTCTGCTTGTCTCTCAGGGTTCCCCACGGTCCTCATGAAAACGCCAGCTCTGAACAGAGCTTCCACCCTGTGTCTGCAAACAAACACGATCTTGCTGTGCCAAATGTTTTTCACCAGCTGAGACCCTGAGGCCTCTCAGAAGGCTGGGCCTGGTCCCTCAAGGTCTCTGGGCACGCCACCCTCCGTGGGACTTGGACCCGCTATGACTCAACTGCACCTCCTCCCTGTATTTGTAGTTATTTTACTTCCTGGGAGACTACAAGGTCAATGAGGGCAAGATTCTGTCATTAGGATCTGAAACAGACCTGAAAAATGATGAGCATCTACTAAGTATTTGTTAACTCAGTAAAAATACATAATTAATACTGAGCTTTTCCTGCATGATACAAGAAAAAGGACACATCAATTTCCTAAAATTCTATCCTACTGTAATTCACAGAGACACTAACTGATGACACTATGGAAGACAAATGTTTTAGGTTCATTTAAACAATCAAATGCTTGATTAATTTTTATTTTATTTTATTTATTTATTTATGTTTTGGTACTGGGGATCGAACTCGGGCCCTTGCACTTGCGCAGCAGGCGGTGAAACCACTGAAGTAAATCCCCGGCCCTTAATTTTTATTTTAAAAGGGTGGAAATATTAAAATAACTAAGGTATTTCCCCTATGTATGAATAATTTCTTATATGCATGAAAGCAGATTTTAAAATATCATATGAATAAATTATAGTCAGGTGAGATACAAACTGAAGACAAAATCTGAGGTCCTCAATATTCCAAGATATTACATATATAAAGAGACTACAAATCATTAATATATTACTCAAAACACATCAGTAGCAAATACTGAATTAAAGAGACTTCAAAACCATTAAATAGTAAGTCAGAAAGCAAAGCTAAATACTAATTTAGTGTTATATTGTCAAAAAAATTTAATGCCAAATAAAGGTGCATAATCACAGAAATGAAATGTCATAATTTTTCATTTATTTCAATAACTGAACAGTTTTCGAAACTAACCAAAACCTACTAAGAAATCCTTAATTACAGAAAATAACAAATCTCAAAAAATAAATGTTTTAGGGAAACAGATGTTTACCCTGATTTCATCATTACACAATACACACACATAAGAAACCACAGAAATATTTATAAAATTTATATATCAGTTAAAAATAAAGTTTAAATTTTAAAATATGAGAAAGCTTAAAAACTCCACTTTAGAGTTATATATTTCCTAGGAATGGTTATATCTATATAGCCTTTATAAGAAAAAGGATTTGTCTTATATTATCATAAATATCCTTATAAAAAAAGGGATTGATTTTCAAAAGCCCCATACATGAATCATTCTTATACTGGTATCACATTGTATACAGTATGTTGCATCCACTCTATTTAATTTACATTATATTAATTTTATGTAATATTTTCTATTACCTTTGTATACCTGCAACCAAGAACTTTAAACCTACTGAAAATTTCAATACCTATTTATTAAACAGTGCTCTGAAGTATATATTCCCATTGTAGAAAAGGACAATTAATAAAATATTGGGTAGGTATCTTTTTACACAACTGATGGGTTTTCATTATTTCAAAAAGACAACATTGATTGAGATCTTGAATATGTTTTATGTTATTCTGTATTCAAATCCTAGTTCAAATTTGTTTAAAGGGGGCCTATTCGGGGGAGGCAGGTAAGAAGGGGTAAAGAGTCGATCGGACTTTACAGCGGGAGAACATTTTAATGTTCCAACGAGCTCAGGAAGACTAGAAATACTTGGCGGAACACGTAACCTCCACAGTTTGAACAGCACAGGTTTTCTTCCATTTTCAGCATAGTGACTCGGCACAGTGGCTGCTCTTTCCAACCAGGGCAAGAAAAGCGCTGTTTCGCGTTCAAGTGCAGGAAGAGCGGAAGAGGACAGAGAGGCTTAGGGCTTCCCGCAGACTCCACCCAGGGCCCTTCCGTGGCCCGCCCCCCTCCTGGCAGCTCCACCTCTCTCCTGGGTTTCATTGCAGAGTGCTGATTTCAAGAGAAACGAAAGGGAAACAAAGCTCCTCGTCCTACCCCACTGCAAATGGGGAGATGGGTAATCTCCTGCTGGTCTGAGGCTCCAGTCCCTCTCCTTAGTTCTGAGCCCTGACTGCCCAACCTGGTCTGCTTCCTGTCTCTCTGATCCCCTCACCTGAAGACTGAACATTCACACCACATTCTGGTTTGGGGGCCTTCTGCAGTACATGTGCAACCTCCACTCATCAAAATGTAAGAAAATGCTAATGAAGGCCATCTCCAGTCTTCCTTTCTCACTGCATGTTAAACGCTTATTCTCCGTGCAAACCTCCCGTACTTGACAAAAGTCCTGAAAAGCTGTACGTGGACTATATGCGTGTTCACCCTTCTGAGGAACAGTATCATCAGTTTTAAAATACTGAAACACATCTAATTTTACAAAGAACACATAAGGTACACATCATAGTGAATATTTTAAATTCAAGTTTTAAATCAAATGCCGACTGGCAATTTTTGATGCCAAAAAAGGATCAATCATATAGTGATCTTTTAAAATATTAAATGATACATTTTTAAAATATATTCTTTCCAGATACAAGCTCAAAATGTTGATGTAATTACAGTTTTATATTAGAAAATATACAATTGTCAGAACTAAGAAATAAACTTTTAATAATTTACCGTATTATTTAGCAAGGCTTCTGAAAAACAATATGGTGATCATGCCACTTGTGGAGTGTTAACACATACTCTCTTGTGTAAAAGACAAAAGAGGTTTTTCATTTTAATTTGAAAAATTATACAAACAGTTCATGCTTTTAAGGAAGATTACATATTAACCAAACATATATTAATGACAGACTTCCTCAATGTGAATGAAATTATTCATGATCTTTTTCTGGTACCATGAAAGCCTGGTAGTTACTCAATCAACTAATTTCCAGAGATAAACTAGTTTTTAGCCCTTAAGTTCAAATTCCCTGACAACCCCAAATCTGATCCAATTCCAAGACTCACACTGAAGAGCACAGGTTCACTATGCATTGGCATGAAAGAAATGAGCGAGGATAGTACAGGCCTTGTAATGAAAATGCAGACTGAAGTAAAAAGCGTGAAATCTGGTGAAAAATGAAGTGCAAATAAGATTTTAAACTCGTCTTCTTTTTTACTAGACCCTTTTTTCTTCTCTTTTTTTTTTTTTTTTTGGTACCAGGGATCAAACTCGGGTCCTTTCACTTGCCGGGCAGGCGGCAGAACCACTGAGCTAAATCCTTGGCCCCTAAGCCCTTTTTTCTGACTAAAATTTGCCCGTGAATTCTAAACATGCTCTCTCACATTGGGATTCCTGAACTTTAAAGTGTTTACCTATAGTATTTTAAACCTAAATTTCTACTGAACTTCTCATAAGCTTTCCCACAAAAAGCAGTAAAATTCCATTGTCTGTCCTGTCTTTTTCTGTGTATTTGCAGTGCAAGTTAGTGCAGAGCAATGGTCCATTCATTCTTTTTTCTTTTTTTTCTGGTACCAGGGATCAAACTCAGGACCTTGCACTTTCGAGGCAGGCACGCTGCCACTGAGCTAAATCCTGGCCCTGGTCCATTCATTCTTAAAAATAGGTTACACTTACATCCTCTCTCCAAAGAAGGTGAACAAGCCATCTCTAGATGAGTACAAATAAAGAAACCCTCTAAAAACATGAGGCCTTCGTAGGTAAATGGGTGCACCTTGAGAGCACAATGTAAAGTGAAATAATCAGACACATAACCCTAACTACTGCACAAACTCTCTCACATGCAAACCTTAAAGTAAAGAGCAAAATAAAAGATACTGGGAGGTAAGGAGATATTTTTCAAATGGGAAGGGAAACAAGAGACAGAAGAAGGGTGAAGGAAAGAAGGGAAATGGGCAAAATGAAGAATTGAAGCAAGAATAGAAATAGCGCTTTTGCAAATGATAAGGGGCCAAGAGTTGTGAGGAGCAGGGAAGAGGGGGGCTGCTGCACAGGAAAAACTACACGGCCACCTCTGCCATGCTGTGTGAGACGCTCGGGTTCAAAGTTCGAGCCCTTACTAAACCAGGGCAGAATACAGAAGAACAGACGAGGCAAAGCACACCACACACCGCAAACTCATTAGTGACGATGCAAACACACAAATCAACTTAGGTTAGTGTTGAGAGACCACACAAAAATTACAATACCTGAGATTTAGTGCATTCCTTTGAGCCACAATGAAATGAATGCCATAAAAGAGGAAAGGAAAAGACGAACGTTACCAGACATGCTATAGTATATTACAGCTGCAGAAATGAAGGTAACATTAAAATCAGGTTAAGAATGGCCATACAGAACTGGCTACATGTGTAACGCTCTCTGTGTTTTCAGTCATGCACTTGCAGTCACTTTAAATCACCTGCTAAGTATGTTCACGCACTCTTTTAAATGAACTTTCTAGCTCAGCTCCACCCTATTAGATGATTTCTTTTGAAAAGAAACATTTCAGCTAGGAATAAAAAAATATGAATTAAGGCTAATTGTAAATAATTTTCATTTAATTCTCTTTACTGTACGATATCAAAAATATAAAATAAATTATGCATTTAGGTAAAATAAGGTGCATACAAAATTTGCACATCCAAAGAAGGGTTCAATACTTTGAATTATGACAATGTTGCCGACAATCTTAACTCGTTAGGTAAATGAATACCTAATGTCACCTAGCAGTATACTAGCATATGATCCATTAGTGATCAAGTTAGTTTTCATCTCAGCATTGAATTATCCCTAAAAGTCCTGTTGACCAGGTAAAATATTGTCAAATCCATTAATAAAAAATCTTGCAGCAATACAAAATACTACTCATTTTTTAAATCAGAGCAGGAAAGGGGAAAGCAAATAAAGTGGTCTATGGGGAGAGACAGATGGGTGGGGGAAAGTTATAAAACAGCCCGCCCAACTTGAGTGTAACAAATATGAGTATAAAATTAAACCAGTCAACGTCAACACTGAATTTTAAGTAATACTCCCTCTATCTCAGTTTGGAAACCCATTTGGAAAAATAATTCCAAAGCAGCAAGAATATTAGTAGTAGGCTAAAATATTATAAGCTATCTGCACTATTAATATGTACAACTATTTTAATAAACATTTCCTCCTTCTTTCATGATGCTAAATTAACCCTAAAAATATACCTTCTTTAACGGATAATGATAACAAAAAACCTTTCATGGGTTTTTCTTTCTTTAAATACCAAGTTCAAGAGACTAACAAAGCTGTCTTTGTGATAAGCAAAAAGCAACCCTTTCCAAATGAGCTCAATGAAATGATTCAGCTATGAAAGTCATATTCAATTAAAACACTGCATGGATAGCAAAAGCAGCGGGCAGGTTTGCTGCTGGTCAAAACACATTTAATATTTACATACAAAGAGCTCTCCGGGAAAAGAATATATGAAGAATGAATATTAAAACCTTACTAAAAACTAAGGAATTTTAAGCCTACAGATATTGTCCATGCATTTTGCATTTATATTTATTTGCAGAAAGAAAAGGAAAAAAACTGAAGAGTGTAAAGTAGGTATCAATTACCTACTTTCATTTTATCATGTACTTATTCTTAAATTTATTTTACATATAGTGACCATTCGTGTAATGTGTAAGATAGTCAGTCTTGGACATCGCTGTTCCTTTGTTTAAAACAAAGGAATGAGGAAAATAAAGCTGTCAACTGACTTTACAGAGGGCATGTATAAAACATTATCTATGTCTTGGTTTCTTCAAACATAAAAAGAAATTTATCAAATCTTCACTAAATAAATGACAATAAAGAAGATTACAGCATGAAAAAGGAGCTCTGAATCAATTAGATGCTTCAGAGCATCTCCACACAAAGTCATAAAAACCACCCCTTCAGAGCTGGGCCATCCCGGGCCCTGGTGCTCTGAGGCAGGAGGACAGCAAGCTCAGGCCCAGCCTGGGCAACTTAGCAACTCAGTGAGACTCAGTCTCAAAATTTAAAGAAACAAAAGTTAAAAAGGGCTCAGACTGTAGCTCAGTGTGAAGGTACTGGCTTCCTTCCCCATGGTAGCAGGGGAAAACATCACTTTAAACTTTTTCTCCACTGACTTCATTAAAAAAACTCTCAGTATAAAAAATAATATGTAGCTTTTACATATCCACTTTTTAAATAAAAACTCTGTGTGGTACTGGGAGGAGGGATCACAGAAGGAAGCTAAAATTTTGGATTAAGACAACCTAAAATATACCAATAATAATTCTCCATGCTTATCCCAAAGCTGATCTTCAGAGAATATTTTAGGAAATAAAAGAGCTAAACTGTCTTTGACATCTTATTTCAAAGCCTGCTAAAAACTATTCATATCGTGTGCTTACAGCAAAACCTATGTTTTGTGTATCATAGAAAATTACTCATCCAAAATGAAAATTTTAAAAGTCTTTTCACCCAACTTCCAAAAAATAAAATAAATAAAGATTTTACATCTGTGTAATTTACCGTATGATAGCCTCTAGGCAAGGGTGGTTTGCCCATAGGATAAGGATCCACAGTATCAATAATTGTTTGTCTTTCACCTTTCTGGTTGATTTTTCTAAATCTTCTTCGAGACTGTCTGTGAGAGGCTTGACGCTGAAAATATTCTTCATTTTCATCCATATAGTCCACCTGAAACACAATTTCCAAGATACTTCACTTCTCCAAACATGAAATTCCACAGAAGTATCAGACACAGAGAGAAACTTACAGGGAGTCCACGTTCATTCACTTCGCACGCACATTTGAGGACAAGCTGCCTAGACACACGGTAAGTGGATCTGCACTCCTCTGAAACTAACTGGCTTTGGGTAACTTAGTCTTTATGAAGAGGCGTTTTCAGTTCCACTTAAGACAACATGGGGAACTCTTGAATTTCCTGTAGTTTCAAAGGGGAAGGATATTTTCAGTAGTCTTTGTACTGATTTATTAGTGAGAGGTCTAATGGGATATACTACCCACACATTATGAAAGCAGCTACTGCATGTGTGTGCAGGTTTCTTAACTAAACACACGTGTGCGCATATGCACACATACACAATCTGATATATTTGAGTGAATGTGTTTTTTTAAAAATATCCCAAATTACTCAAGCAGGACTGCTAACAGAATGACTCCGGGAGAATAAGGGTTTCTCTTCCTACTTTTGCTGTATGGCTTTAGTTTTCTTTTCATTATAGCACTGCTTAAGAAATTCCTCTTCTTAAACATTTTAGGAAGCCTGATGACTGGATTAATCACAAACAGAAGTTACATCAAGTTATTCTGACCCCAAATCTACACGTAAATGACACAGTTCGTGTAGAGGCAGCTTACACTCCACAGCTATGCTCACATGGAAAACCCAGCAGCTCGGAGTATCAGCATATACTGAATACAGGAGACATTCCGAAAACCAAAAATCCTTCAGACAAATCAAAAAATAGCATGAACAGAGCACAGACTCTAGAATGCTTTAGAAACTTTCAAAAAGTCTTTTTTATCTGCACACTTTTTCCCAACACTGAATCTTCACCCATCACCAACCTACTTTTTCATTTAAGAGTAAATTTTGAGACATTTTACCAAAACTTCTCAGCAGCTTGGATGAGGAACCTCTTATTTCTGACAGAATTCCTCTCCTGCACCACTGGGGAAAGCTCAAATATTCTCTGAAAATAGCTTCAGAGTTGTCCACCAAGTGCTTTCTTGAATATGAATAAAAAGATTCCACCGTCACCTCTAGTAGGCCACCATTTATTGTAGAGAAATGCTCTCCTCCCCAGGAGCGTGCTGGATGAGGGTCAGCATCAAATGAGGGTCAGGCCCGGGAGCTCAGCAGCTCACTTTCATCACTGACTTTTTAAAGACAAGGTACATAGTACCCTATCTTACAACCATGTCTGTGCAAGGAGGACGCAGGACAGAGTTTTCAAAGTTTCACTAAAAATATTATCTGTGTTGTTGTTATATATAATCTGTCTTAATATATTTTAAAATCTCAATTGAAATATAAAGATGACAACAGTGTGCTGATCAGCTCAGTACTCCATAGAGCTTTCTTTCACTTGCATAAAGAAATCAAGTGATACCTTATATTATTGTTTGAACACATATCATTGTGGTCCATTCAAACCAACTCATTCTTTCCAATAAACACTAAGAGAGTTGAAACTGTACAAGCCAAAGATTCCCCCAAATTTCAATGAAATGGCATTATCATGACTGGTGCTCATCCTTTTCAACCCTCTATTGTTTACAATGAATTGAACCCCACACATAATTACCTTACGATTATGAACTCAAATTCAAAATGCAAGGTTATGAAATAGACCAAATGTACATATATCTCATCTTATGAAAATATGACAGCCCTCTATAAGTAGTTTGTGAAAGCACCATTATTTCATAAAAAGTGGGGGGGGGGTCAGAAATATCTTACCACAATCATTTCAGAAGGCTCTAGGACAATGCACTCACAGCCTCGCCTAAAGCTTCCTGCAGAACGCTTGCCAAAACTAGAAAGGGGGAAAAGAAAGTCAGTTGAGGACCACTTCGAAGATTTAAGAAATATTAATTTAAGTCAACAGTTCAGATAAATAAAAATATTTTAAAATTGCAAAAGTACACAGTGGAGAAAAAGAAAGTGAACTTTGGTTAGTCCTAATGCAAAATGACAAGGAAACATTCAAATTCTTAAGTCTCAGTCATGACTTCTCTAGAAATTCCAACATAACGTTTTCAAATTCATAATGCAGCAAAGGAGAACAAGCATGGATGTGCTTTGTGTTGGTTTGCTTTCGATCCTTCTGAGGTAAGTTTTAGATACTCCAATAGGGACCGGAAATGCCTCAAAGGCAAACTATGAAGATGTCCAAAGTAGAAAACAGAAGTAATTCTCCTCTGTAACTCACTTTTGCTCACGTTAAGTTCTTCTTTTGCTGAAAAAGTGTACTTATCTTTTTAAAGTTTCTAATCAACTTACTCTGAACTTTTTAGAGGGCGGAAGCCTGAAGACGGTTCCTTGTAAAGTACAGTGAGCTAAGCGATGCACAGCTCTGAGCAGGAGGGGAGCTGACAGGGCCCGCACTGCCCTCCGTCCTCACATGGGGCGTCAGCAGAGCCGGGCCTGGGCAACCGACCTATGTGCTCTGCTCATGAGCGAGCCACTCCCGTCTCTCATTCACAGCTCCCAAAATTCTCCTTTGGCTCCTGGAGTATGATAGCTCTAGCTTAAAAAAAAATTCTTCCAAATAATTATTTTACTGAGCAGTTTTTTCTAATTAAGGCATTGTGAGCAATTTCTATGCGAATTCCTGTTCCTTCTACAGCCCTGTTGATATGGTGGTACACAATGTTTCACATGTCAGGAATGAAATTATGACCAAAAAGTCACATAAGAGGAATAAAACAGGAAAACCAACATTCTCATTCTACCCTTGTGTTCTTGGCAAAGAACCCTAACCACTTTATGTGCTAAATTTTATTCATTTATAAGTTTACCAGTTTGCATTTAGTCATCAACTATGTCTTTTCCTGCTCAAAAAGTATTTCTATAAAAATCAAAACAGGAAACATGAACAACATTTGAAAAATCCTTTTAAAATGTTCATATATTCAGCTGGTGTGGTGGCACACCCCTGTAATCCCAACATTCTGGGAGGCTGAGGCGGGAGGATCACAAGTTCCAGCTCAGCTTGGCTATGCAGTTAGATCCTGCCTCAAAAAAGGAAGAGGATGGGGATACAGCTCAGTGTGAAGGCCCTGGGTTCAATCCCCAGTACCACTGGAAAAAAATCATTCATTCATTCACACATATATATTTACACAAATACTAGAATGAATTTCTAAAATAGAAAAATTCTGCCAAGAAAAATATTATAAATCTATCTTGTGAGTCACACTGCTCCTTGTGAAATTAAAATGACCTGAACTTTTAAATATCTTTTTAAAACAATTAAAATTCCTTAACTCTTCCATATACCTAAAAATCTATATCTAGTTTGAGTCTGCTAGTTGCAAATTAGTATTTTACAATGACTATTATAATTCAATGATACACTACAAACCTATGTGTATAGCAGCAAAATTCATTAATAGCTAAATCATGGAAACAGCCTTTATGTCCATTCATCCCTTTATGTTATCCATCAGATGAATGGATAAGGAAAAAAAACGGTATTTACACCCAATAGAGCACTACTGTGCCATAAACAAAGACAAACGTTAAATCATTTGTAGGAAAAGGATGCACCTTGAGACCATAATGTTAAGTGAAATAAATCAGACACACAAGCTTAAATATCACATAGTCTCTCTTACATGAAGAACTCAAATTATAAATGAAGTATAAAATAAAAGATAACAGGAAGTAGGGAGAAAGCTCTTTCTCTAATAGGAAAGGGATCAAGAGAGGGAAGGGAGGGATGGAGAGGAGGGGAGGGGATGAAAAAGGAATCTGGATGTTGGTTCTGTGTACCATTTCGTGTAGTCTACTATAAGACTTAGTAACAAAAAAGACTGCTGCATTTGGGAGGACTAAGCATCCATTTCTGACAGTGAAACAATATAGTTACAGGCATGTACTATTAACTATGTAATATGTACTTTGTGCTATGTATACAAGTAATGTAGACACTATGTACTGCAAATATGTACTTTAAAAAATAATAAAAATTAGATTTATAAGAAAAAATAAAAATCTCAAGGTGTTGATAAAATATGTACTTTATAACAGAACATAAAACTATGGTGCTATATTGTCCAGTACAATCAGCAAAGCTTACAGTACCAACACTGAGGCACAAAACCAAGCCAGTCATCAGCCTGCGCCAGGCTCCTGAGTCTAAGCCGCAAGCCTGGACGCTAAGTCTGGACATTCACTCAACGGGGCTCGGTAAAAGATTATCTACAGGTTCCATGCTACCATCACCCACCTAACTCTGTTACATGACTACTTAGCATGTAGGTCGTAGGTTGAGGGTTTATTACTGCATCACATGAAAATCTAAGGACGCGTGCATGGGCTGAGGCTGCTTGGGTAGAGCAGGCAGTCAGCAAGTGTGAGGGCCTGGGTTCAATCCCCACAACAAAACAATGAATAAATAGCTGTACAAATGTGTAATTGTGAGACTTTTAAGTTTTGCCCCATTAAACCACAGATCTAGACAATTTTATAAATGCAATGATAACATGGCTATCTATTTTTACATTTTTGCCAAGTTTACTGGTCCATTGTAGATAACAGAATGACCACACTCATCATAGGGAATTTGTACCTGTGACGATACATCTTGACTCCTTTTTGTCCTATACCCCTCCCCTCCCTTCAACCCCTTTCCCTTCTTTATTTAAAAAGCCCTGTTTCCATTTTTTCCTTCTTTTCCCATTTTTTTCTCTTTCCTTCCTTTTCCCCTCCCCCTTTTTAGTTCCCCCTTCGTTCTGAACAAAGTTTTCTTCTTTCACATTGTGTATTACACATTTTGGTCCCTATTTACATTTTCAGTTTCTTACACCAGAGACAATGCAATATTTAAGTGTGTGTGTCTGACTTCACTTAAGAGTACAGCTTCAAAGTGCATCCATTTAGCTATAAATGCCTCATGTTTATCCTTCTTTATGGCTGAGTAGTACTCCACCATATAGAAGAACTCCAAAACTCCACCAGAAGACTTACAGATTTAATCACCAAATTCAGTAGCATAGTTGGATATAGAATGAACACTCAAAAATCAACAGCCTTCCTCTACATGAATAACAAATTCATTGAGAGAGAAATTGGGGAAATAACATCTTTCACAATAACATCGAAAAAAATGAAATACCTAGGAATCACTATAAGGAAGGAAGTAAAAGACCTCTACATTGAAAACTACAGTACTCTGAAAAAAAGAGATCAAAGAGGATAATCAGAAAATGGAAAACTATCCCTTGTTCTTGAGTAGGAAGAACCAACATAGTGAAATGGCCATACTTCCAAAATTATTATACAGATTTAATGCAATCCCGATCAAAATCCCAGCAGCATATCTCACAGAATTAAGAGGAAAGAATTCTAAAATTCATTTGGAACCAGAAGAGGCCTAGAACAGCAAAAACAATTCTGGATAACAAAGGCAAGGCAGGTGGTATCGCAATCTCTGACATGAAATTATACTACAGAGCTACCGTGACAAAAACAGCATGGTCCTGACAAAAGAACAGACCTGAGGATCAATGGAACAGACTAGAGGATATGGAAACAACTCCAGACGTACTCAACCACCTTATCTTTGCCAAAGGGGCCAGACATGTCCGCTGGAAGAAAGATAGCCTCTTTAATAAATGGTGCTGAAAAAACTGGCTTTCCACATGCTGAAGACTACAACTGGACCCATATCTCTCACTATGCACTAAACTAAAATCAAAATGGATCAAAGATCTAAATATTAAAACAGAAACACTAATTCTGGTAAAAGAGAGAATAGGGAGAATTCTTGAGGACACAGGCAAAGTCTTCAAGAACAAAACCCAGACTGCACCGGAAATAATTTAAAGAATCAACAACTGGGATCTCACCCTACTAAAGTCTTTGCACTGCAAAAGAAATCACCAACAGAGTGAAGAGACAACCCACAGAGTGGGAAAAAATTCTAGTCAGTAGTCCCCCAGACAAAGGATTAATATCTAAAACATACAAAGAATTGAAAAACATCAACCCCCCCCAAATTTGAAGATTGAATCCAAAAATGGGCATCTAAAATGAATAGACACTTCTTAAATGAAGAAGTACAAATGGCAAATAAATATATGAAAAAATGTTCAACATCACTGGTCATTCGAGAGATGCAAATGAAAACAACGCTGAGATTCCACCTCGCTCCAGAAAGAATGGCTGCTATCAAGAAATCAACCAATAACAAATGCTGGCGGGGCTGTGCAGAAAAAGGAACCCTGCTCCACTGCTGGTGAGTGTAGACTGGTGCAACCACTGTGGAAATCAGTATGGAGAGACCTCAAAAAGCAAAACTAGAAGTTCCATATGACCCAGCTATTCCTTTTTGGTATCTTCCCAAAATAATTAAAAGTATCAACCACAGCAATATATGCACAGCCATGTTTATAGAAGCACAGTTTGTAATAGCTAAAGCTTGGAAACAATCCAAATGCCCATCAATCAATGAATGGATAAAGAAGATGTGTTTTCTAAATGGTTATCTTTTTAAATGTAATGTAAAAACCCCATAAATGTTTGTGAATGCATATCCAATTTTATAATAAATACTGGAAGAAAAATTAAAATATTCTAGAAGAGAGTTGTTTACAAATCTTGGTAACAGAGGGCAGTAAGGTTCTCATAAAGAAACTACATACAGTAGTTATTTTATGCCTAATTATTATACCCACTCCCTACTTTAGAATTTAGGCTGTAAATCCTCTTACCAATTACCTTAGCTTTAGTTCAAAAGAATTTTACAGCTAGAAGTTGTGCTTCAAGTTATGTTAGCACTATTATTTTGGGGATGAAAAGTTTACATCC